AAATAGAGGCTGAGCAACCCGCCACCTCTTCTGGTAATAGGGAAGCATAGGCGCCAACTCCATGGGTGCTCCAGTCCTGGAGCATCCACAGGGAAAAATTAGTGGGTGCTCTGCACCCACCGGCAGCCAAGCGCCCCGCCCCGCCTCACCTCCTCATCCGCCTCCTTCCCTGAGTGTGCTGTGTCCCAGCTCCTCCACCTACCTCCCAGCGCTTGTTGCTGCCAAACAGCTGTAGCAAGCTCCGGGAGGGAGGGGGGAGGAGTGTGCTCAGGGGAGAAGGTGGGGAAGAGGTGGGGCCGGGGTGGGGATTTGGGGAAGGAGTTTAATAAGGGCAGGGAGGGGACGAAGTTGGGTGTGGGACTAACCCCCACCGGCGCCGTTAGAGGTCGGAACCTATGTGGGGAAGAGTAAAAAAGAATCAGGGAAAAAAATAAGATGAGAACGAAAAGGATGGAAGGAGAGAGCAGAAACTTTGATTGCCCCTTCAAGTCCCCATTTACCATATGATCTGCCACAAGGAATGGGTTCTGCAGATGAAGGGAACAGTTACTTGCTTTGCTGTGTAAATGGCCCCCTCTGGTAACAGCAGTGGCACTGACGGGCCCTGGAGAGAGATGCTTCTAGTTTTTCCCATTTCAAGGTTTATTTGAAGAAGAGAGGAGATGAGGAGGATGGCTCTGAGAGGACCTCTGGGGATCACAGGTGGAGATGGTGCCTTAAAAACAAAGAAAACCAAAATGTTCTCTCTCTCAATCCAAAGAAACCTTCCTATTTCTTGCTGAAAAGTTGAAGGCACCTCCCCATGGCATGGGAGAGTTGGTGAGGGACAAAATGTCTCCTGTTAATGTTGACCCTAATTATGGACAAGATAATCTAACCCCTTTCTACCTGGTTGTTGAAGTAACCCCACTTTAAAGAGCCGTTTCATTTCAGAAGAGAGCCTCATGGCAAACCTCTTCCCAAAGATTTGTCATGAAATGATGGTAAATGCACTTATACTTGAACTGGGGTTGGGCTCAGAGTTAGGGAGGATAAGAATTAAGTCTGTTTCTTTTTAAAAAGTGAGTTTAGGGCTTGTGAAAAGTGTCAGACTGACAGCGCTGAAACCCAGTGTCTTCTGTTAATGCACTGAACAGTATCAGCTACAATCCAGGCAATAGCAGCGCAAGCCTTCCCTACATAATGCTCTATCCCCCAAACTATTGTGCCTCAGCCTTGCCTTTGTGGTCCTACTTCTAGGGGTGAGCTAGAGTCTTGGGGTGAAATCCTGGCCCCACTGAAGTGGATGGGAGTTTTGCCATAGTCTTCAATGAGGCAGGATTTCACCATTCGTGCTCATTGAATTCTTGGACTCATTGAGACAATCAGCAAAGAAATCAATTCTGATGGTGGTTTCTGTGATGTGGTAGACACAAACTCATTTGCTGAGCAGTCATAATCCATTAGTTGCTTTTGATCACTACTGACTTGGGCCCCAGTCTTACAAGGATCCCATTGACTTCACCAGGACCTTGTGCTGGTGTAAGAGCCTGCTAGCCTACACAGATCTCATTGCAGGATTGGGGTCTTGGACTGTTTTTGAATCTGTGACCCAGAAATTCTACTTCAAGGCAGCGATTAAATATTAATTAACATGAGGAATCCCTATTAAAATTCAAAATATACCCTCTTCCCACTCCCCTTTATTTTATTCTGACTCAGCTGAAATCAGGTAACATACTACAAACAGTATGAAAGACCTGCAGGTGTAGGTGAGGCCATTTGTCTCACCTACTTCCTTTTGTGGTCCATCTGAAAAACTAATTTCTGTGCATATAAATTGCGAGTAAAGCAGAGAACGTGCCTTAGTTTGTTGTTTGTTGTATTGTCTTTATATTGTTGTAGTAGCCATGTTGGTCCCGGGATATGAGAAAGACATGCTAGGTGAACCAATAACTTTTTCTGAACCAGCTTCTGTTGGTAGAAGGGACAAGGTTTTGAGCTTCACAGAGCTCTTCCTGGGGAAGATTGGAAGCAAGTCCCTTTCACCAACAGAAGTTAGTCCAATAAAAGATTTTACCTCACTCACCTTGCCTTTCTTATATTGTCCTGGTATAATTGCACCTAGAATATTACACACAGTTCTGGCCTCTGCATTATAAGAAGAAGTAGGTTCAGAATAGGACTAGATATGATAGCATTGATGAAAAGAGATTGAAGTGTCTGACTTGATACTTATGGGAAAAGAGGGCTAAGCTGAGGTAGGGGAAGCCAATAACATTAATTAAGTATCTTCAAGGAAATAATATCAGGAAAGGAGAAGACTTGCATTACAAGACATGGTGAAGGGATGGAATGCTGTAATGTTCTAATGCTAAAAATAAAACTAGCTTGGACCTCAGGGAAGATGTCTTTAAGAGTGAGGCAATTAGGTAGGGGATCAGACTCCCAAGAGAGGTAGTCAAGACACTGGAGTTTCACCAGCAAAAGATTAGATAAGACACTAGAGGGAATAATGTAGGGAAATGTGTTGCATGCTTTAGGGGGTCAGGCTTGATAGCTCTCAGGTTGAGGGTTTTCTCAGCTCTACTTTATGTGATTATGACAGGGAATTCATCACAGATTCTAGATACTTGTTTTAAAAGGCTAATCACTGTTATACAACATTGATTTTACAATTTACATTATATTGTTAAATTATAGTAATTTTTCTGGAACAGCTTAAATAATGTTATGTTTCCCCTGCAGGCTCTTGCCTCAGTTAACTGTGCTGACTGGGGCTGGATTAAGGGAATTCAGTGCCTAGATACATCATGACATGGGCTGCCCTGTGGGCCCATCCCCCAGATGGAGTGGCAGAAGCAGGGAAGGCCATGTCTCTTAGCTGAGAGGCAGGGAGCGCAACATGAGTCTTCCTTATCTCCCCAGGAGTAGTAATAGGGGCCTCCTCTCCAAGCCCCAAGTAAGCAGGGGACCTCCCAATATTTACACTGGCAGCTGGGGAAATCAACTTGGTGGCTGGGCCACACAGAGTCCACCACTGGGGGTGATGTTGGTGGGGTCCCCCAGAGCAGTGGGTCTTAAAGTTCCCTCACCATTGGGATGAATGAGGCAGTTCACATCTCTGAGCTAGTGTTGCAGATGCAGGGAGATATTATTGCTTTGGTTTCACTTTTGTTTAAATATTCAAGCTTTTCTTTGCAACCATATGGACAAGAAACTTACAATGCATTTTTCTTTTCTTTTTTTTAAATGAAAGTGGAGATTCTGATGTAATCACAAGACTCAAGAAACTGGGGCCCTAGGCAAGGGTCTATAAGGCTTATACCCTAGTCTGTCTCCGGTGCTGACATCCTACTATAAATGATCACCAGGAAAGAACAAAGTAAACTATGAAATTAGAAGGGTTATTTTTCTTGTGTTTGTAGTAGATCTGAGAATAATACGACCCTTTAAATTTAATATGGTATTTCTCTCAACTTCTGCCCTAAGCTGTTGCGTATTGTGTCTGTGTGTTATTAAACAGCTGCTGCATTCCTTGGTGGGCAAAGTGGTATGTATGTCTCTTAGTACAAATCATTAAGCGGAGTTTGTAAAGTGAATGAAAGAAGCTATGTAAATGCAAGAAAACTTTCATTCAGTGTTTCCAAGTAGGAAAGAGCAAAATATGTAGGGAAATAAACCTTTTTTAAAAGCTTCTAAGAGTGAATTACTAAATATTTAAAAATCTGTTTATAGTAGTTGACAGAGAAAGGGGGGTGCTTAAGTGGCTATCATTTGGGAAGTGTTTATTGTTACATTTAAATGTGAAATGTTTACTATGTGTTTTATGTTTGTGGTTTTTTATTTTTGTTCAAAACTGTTTATTGCATTGATTCAGTGAAGGGGACAAAAAAACAAAACCCAGTGACTTTTGGGAAATGAGACATGCATCATTGTACCAATTAAGCAGCAAAGTTCTGTTAAAAAGAATAAATAATAGTTTTGCACTGGGAAAGATTTAAAAAAATTCCTCTGCAGTCCATAGTAACCCCACACTGTAGCTTCATTTTACAATGCTGCTCAACTTTTTCTAGTGATACTGATACTTTAATATAACATGACTCAGCCATTCCCCTAGGGGGTTTCTAATTCAATCAGGAGGCCAGATCAGGAAAAGTGTATAAGAGACTGATAAATATTTAAATATCAAAATATTATTCCACCCTCTTGCGTGACTGACTGGCAGAGATTTTATTGTGGGGGTTGGCTGATGTGGGATTGTAAGGATTTTTTTTAAAGGACGCTGCAGTCTTTAGGCAAAACTCTCACTGAAGTCAGTGGAAGTTTTTCTGTATAAGGAGTGCAGGGTTGGTCCCATAACTTTATATTGGAGATCCCTGCATATCCAGCTGGCTCAAGGGCCATTAGTACGGATTCATTCACAGTGTGTGGTTAATGTATTGCTGCAATAGTTAGACAAAGGGAATTAAAAAGGAAAGAGGCATTGGCCCTTCTGCTTGTCTCCCTAGCTGCAAGCACGTAGCCTGCCTGAGCCAGGGCTGCCTTCACCTGAAGCAGGAGCAGCTGTGAGTTTCCTTTGTGCTGCTGCTCTTGCTCTGTGGCTGAAAGTAGGTCCGGCACTCCCAGGTCCAGTGTTGTATCCACAACCGCATCGCACCCCCCCCCCATTCCCCAAAAAAGAGGGAGGAGGGAAAGGAAAATAGTCCCATTGGAATGCGACAGTGGCTGCTGGAGTGTCCCTCCCCCTCTCTGGGGACGGTGCCTGTGCAAAGCGCTGCCTCCCTCCCCGGCCGCCGCGTTGCCTGGCTCGGCTTGGGCTCGCCCCGCCCGCCTTTGTCGGGGAGGCGCGGCGGGCCTTGTGCGAGCGCAGGCACCGGAGGAGGGCGCTGCATTGGGGCGTAGGGAGCCGTCTGGGGGAGGGGACGGGGAGGAGGCTGCTGCTGAGCAGGGAAGGGGGGGGGAGGCGTGTATCCCTGCGCCGCTGTGCACGGGAGGAGGAGGAGGAGGCTGGCCGAGGAGTTGGATGGGGGAATTGCAGCCGCCTTTGCACGGAGGCGGTGGCGGCAGCAGCAGCATGGAGGGGAGCGTTTGCGCGGCTGGTGCAAAGGAGCCAGGCGCCTGCTAGAGACAGACAGCGGGGGGGGGGACGGACCTGCAGCTGCTCCCCCCCGCCTGGAAGTATGAACTGGCAGCAGAGCTGCTGCTGCTGCTCTCCCCCGCCAGCGCCGCCGCCGCCCCCCCCGCCGGTGAGCGAGCAGAGACGGAAGATGGGGCCCGTGCTCCGGAGCCTACTTCTCTGCAGTTTCTGCGCCCTGATGCGAGGTGAGCGGGCAAGGGGGAAAGTTGCGGGGGTCGCTGCCCGTGGCCATGTTCCGCGCGGTGGGGGGAGAGGCCGGGCCTGGCCGCCGGGGAGGGGGAGAGGGGCCCAGGGGAAGGGGCAGCAGCGCTCTTTGCAATGCCGTGTATCCAGCTTTTCTCTCCGAACTAACTTCCCGCAGCGCAGCGGGCAAGCCCTGCACTGGCCGGGGCGGGTGGGGGCATTGCACGGTCGGGTGCACCCCCAGAGGCGCTTTCAGAGGAAATCACCTGGTGGTGAAATATTCTCTGGGCTTCGTGATGTTTGTGTGGGGGTGGCTGGAGTTATTTTTGTTTATCCTGCGTGCTCAGGAGTCATCTTATATATAATTTGTTTTTGCAAACTTAAAAAAAAAAAAGACGAAAAACGCTCAGGGTTTGCCGTCCTCGTTGCACGTAATCCAGGATGGGAGGCAGAGGGGTGAGGAGACTCTGGGCAGCGTTTCAAGGAGCAAAGCATTAAAACATCGTGGTGGCTGGGTGGGTTGGTTTGTTGTTGTTTTTGTTTTGGTCGCCCCCTGCGCCTATCCATGTTTAGAGATAATTGAAGTCCTGTACACTTCACTGGAAAAAAAGTGTATGTAATAATCTAGCGTTTCATTGGATTTTATATGCACCAGAATAAGTACATACTTGGCAAAAAGAATCCATGCATCTGAAGAAGTGGGGTTTTTACCCATGAAAGCTTATGCCCAAATAAATCTGTTAGTCTTTAAGGTGCCACAGGACTCCTCGTTGTTTTGGCAAGAAGAATAACACTCCTCTGATCTATATTGGGTCCATTCTGGGACTTGAGAGAAGTTTGTGTTTTAGAGGGCTGATTGTAAAGGATGTTGATAGACTTGGCTAATATATACTGAATGAATATTGATATATTTTTCAAATAAGGGATTGAAAATAAAGAACTGCCAAATGGCATTCAGTGTTTTTAACACACTAGGCCTGCTTAACCCAGGGTCATGAGTTCAATCCTTGAGGGGGCCATTTAGGGATCGGGGGCAAAAAAATAAACAAAACTGTCAGGGACAGTACTTGGTCCTGCTAGTGAAGGCAGGGGGCTGGACTTGATGACCTTTCAAGGTCCCTTCCAGTTCTATTAGATAGGTATAACATTTAATTCCCCCCTCCCCTCAATTTCCTATCTTGCAGAGAACAAAAAGATAACTGAAGGTTTTGTATGCTGTACATTTGATTATAGTAACCATTTCTACTTGTTTAAAATCTTCTTTTTTGGTGGGAAGAGACCTGTGTCTATATCTATCACATCACTGTCCTTTTCCATAGTTAACGAGGGAAGGGATTCTTTGATATATCAGAAAAAAGCAATCACATTCTGATTTAAAAAATGGCTTGCAACCATTAATTTGTTTTGATGGGAGCTTGGGGGAAGGGGATTTGGGTTGGAGGAAGAGCTTGATAGCCAGTTGCTCACTGCTCTGGAAGAGGAAAGATTCCCTCCTCCCCTTCCATGCATCTGTTTGCCATATTGCATCCTGTTGGAGAAATGTAAGTATACTTATTTAAATGGGCTACGTAACATTTCATACCCCACTTGTGGCTGTAAAGTTAAATTTTAAGTAACTGGATTTCAGGCAAGGAGGAGAAATAATGTATTTTGAGCAGTACACTTTATTATTTAATAACCATACATTTCCTTAATAAAAATTCATCTAGCACTGTAATTGTTGCCTTAAACCAGATATTCTTCTGTTTTTTCCCTTAAGTTGCAATTTGAGCAAGAGTATACAAGTCAGTGGGATATTGGCACCATGACTGTCATTTTTCCAAATCAATCAGCTCTTAGTTATATATTCTTTGCAAGGCTTCACAGACCCGCTGATGCTTTGTAGGAAACTTTGAAAGACATTCAGTTTATAAACCATTCTGGATTGTCATTTTTTTTCTCTCCTCTCTTTATATTTTGCTGAGTATATTTTTATCAAAACAGCATCTTTGCTTCTTTAGAGTTCATTTGCTCCTGCTGTTTTTCTCCCACCTGAAATCATAATCTTCTATCTGTGACATTACAGTAATTTCCACCGCAGTTAATTGTTACTTCAGGTAGGGATAAGCAGCAGGAGCAGCAGAACTTGGAAGAAACAAAGATCGTATTTTTATGCATGTCTTTCGTAATAAAGCCTGTACATGATATGCAAGCAGAATTGGTTCTGAAGAGAATGTGTTCAATTTCTAGGAGGTGTCAGCAGCCCTTTAATGAGGCAAAGGCAAGCATTGCCCACACAGAATATTGTCCGAAGTACGACTATGTTTTTACACGAGTAAGGGTGAAGTTTTTTGTGCATATGTTTACTTCTTGGTTCGTGAATTTGGTGCTGTGAAAGGTGCCAAGCTGACAGTGCTGGAGACTGAAGCCCCTCCTTTAGACACAGGAATGGAACTGGAGTACATTCTTATTTTGCTATGTCAATTTGCAGCATTCTGTCTTCTAAGAGTATTACTTAGGGATGCCACGTTTTGATGCTAATCTTTGATTTGTATACTTGATCATGATAAGCTGCACAGAGACCACTGATGTATCACAAAGGTTATCCAATAGCCGGGTGACAGTAGGAATTTTTGATAATTTGTTTACTAGTCTTGGCTGGATTAACACCAGTAACATTTAAATGCAAAATCTAGTTAATTAGGAAATTACACCGTCATGATCAGGGCTTGGGAAAAGTATACTAGGCACCTACTAGCCAGAGGTTGATACATAATATGTGGGGCCTCTCCAGTGGTGAAACCCTGGTCCGACTACCAGCTTGGGGGTGAATGCTGGTATTCATAAGGCGAAGATGTCCCTGGATCCTGCTAAAAGACTCCCATCTTTCATGTTGGCCTCTGACCTATTCTGATGCTAGAAGGGCGTGGGGGAGAGCGGACCCCCTATCCCTGTCCCAGAACCTGTCACTGCTAATGTACACCTCCTCCAGCTTCTGGTTTATTTTTGGGATTGGGGCTTCCTCTTTTCTGAACATCAACAATGCCTGCTGTTGCTGCTGCTTTCCCCAGGGCACAGAGGAGTGAGGTTGACCTGATTCATGTCAGCGTCACTGTTGCCCACAGTATTTTTAATAGTAGCAGTGAAACTGATCAGAATCTTGTTAGAGGCTCTGCTGCTGCTTGGGAGCGGTGGGCAATAGGTCTGTCTGTTAACTAAGGAAAATGACACCACACAGGTTTACATTTGCAAAGTTACCTCAGTCATAAGTGCCAAAACTTAGCTTCTCTTTTACAAAAGAACAGGTTAGATTCTGCAGGAACTGATGACTTGCCTCTTCTTCCCTTCTGGGGGAAAACTTACTAATTACATCTGATGAAGTGGGTTCTAGCCCACGAAAGCTTATGCCCAAATAAATTCGTTAGTCTCTAAGGTACCACAAGGACTCCTCATTGTTTTTACTGATAAGTAAGAGAGTTACTCTTTTTTCAATCCTGCTCATGCAAGGAGTGCATCAAGAATTGATTGACCAGGAAGCTTATAAATTATATTTATGGAAATTTATCGAGACGTTGTGTTGGACAGACGTGTAGCTGTCCTGTATTTAGAATCAGTTCTTGAAGGAATGGAAATGCCTGTTGGGTAATTGGTATTTTGACAAACTCCTAATGTGCTCAAAAGACTTGTTTTAAAAAAAAATTGTCCAGTGGTACCATTGTGTAAAGACTCTTGTTTTTAATTTAGAAAGGCTAGCAGGTTCCAGGCTTCTTGGGCTAGTAGAGACTAAGGGTGCTGCTCAGACAGCATGCTGGGAGCAGAGGGAGGGGGGCGGGGAAGAGGCATACTGTACCCTGTAATATTCTGAAACAACTAGGTGGGGTCTTATAGCAGCATAGAGGAGTTCCAGTGGGAGCTTCATGGAGTCTTCAGATAAAGGGTTTCTTGAGACCCGGAGCCCCAGTGTTGGATATCAGACCGTAGAGTGTCGTCCCCCAAGTTATCACAATACATTCCCCCCTGTCCCTCAGTCCAGTATGTATAAAAGATAGCCCATTTTTGATTGTTCTGTATCATTCCTTAGAGATCAGTCTGGCATTGTTCATGCCATATTTTCCATTTGGTTTGCCTTTGTCATTGCCATATTTCAGCTGAGAGCTTTCTGAAACCAGCATGATCTAAGTTTTGGCAAATGCCATCATTAATACAGTAATTTCCACAGTTGTATCCCTCACCCTCATCAAATCATCACTGAAAGATTTTTTAAATAAAGTATTAGGAAGGTGATTATAGAACCCGTGGCAGAGTTTAATGTGACTGGGAGCAAAGATAAAGTAGCATTATGGCAAAGTGTGTTCAAATATGATGGAGTTTGCTGGTATTTTTTCGGGGGGGGGGTGATAAAGTTGTAATTTACTTTGTCAGTGGTTCATGAAGGTGATACAGTACTTGTATTCCCCTGTTACTGTAAAACTATTCAACTGAAGAACTTATTGTAATCATAATATCTTACAGAAATATTGTTCAGAGTGACATTAATAATTTTCAGGTTTCCCTCCTCTCTTACATCCCAGTAAGTGATCTCTGCTCTTCACTTGTTAAGTTTTAGCTGGAAGTGACAATCTGACTGCAGGGATAGCAGGTTGGGCTGGGGGTTTTGTTGCAGTTGTGCAAATTTTTCAGCTAGAAGATAGCAGCTCAGGAATGGTTCCTGTGCTTGAGTTCTACTCACGTGCTTCTGGGAATCCGAGAATTTCCACCCTTTTTGACAAGTATTTCCACCCTTCTGGTAATATTGCATCCCATATGTGCCCACTTCAAGCAATCCACCTCAGTGCACTCATTGCTATATTTACTTGTTGATTTGAAGTCAAGTAGTGCATAGCACATTCTGTGTGCATATGAGAGAGAGACACACAGAGACACTCATCTCCTGATCTGTCACCATCCGTTTTCTCTGGCAGACAGTCTTCAGACTTCAACACTGTCCTCTTTGTCCCCAGCATATTCATCCTCATTAGCTTCC